TATATATATATATTCATGATAAAAATGTAAAGTGCTTCGGATCTTAATATTTTTGAGCAACGAAGTTAGTTCCACCCAAAAATTGAAGAATAACTTATATGACTCCAACAAATCTTCATCATCCGACACGAATCTACAAGCATAATACGGATCTTGATGTAACATCTTTAGTAAGAAATTTTCAAACATCGATAAAAAATCATTCAAAGCTCGATTTCAACAAACTTACAGTCAAACTAACTAGTTCGACGAGAAGAACACAATTTTACCAAAATTGGTTCAATCCGAACCAAATCAAGCTCAGATCAAATCATTAAACCCATTTCAAAATTTTGTGGATATATTTGGAAGGTCAAACAAATGTAGATTATGATGAGCCTATAGTCAAATCGAGTGTCTTAACAAGATGAATCCAATGAGCCCAATAGCACATAATTTTGACATCACTAAGACACTCAAATATTCAGAAAATATCGTAAGATCGAGGGAAGTCCTTTGAGTCGTCTAATCAAAGTAGTTCATATTTTTGCATTAATTACACCCAAAACTCTATAAGTAGTGTCCCACCCCTCTCATGAAGGGGGAAGAGAACTTGAAGCTAAAGGAGAGCTTGAAGCTTGAAGAGAGCTTGAAGCTATGAGAAGGAGCTGAAGTTCAGCACCACTCCTGTCGTCATCGACCACCGTCGACTGTCGTCGACAACTGTCGACTGTCGTCGAGCAGCGCTGATCGCTATCAAGCATCGTCTGCCGCCGCTGAGCATCGTCGACAGACGTCGACAACCGCCGACCATCGTCGACCACCACCTGGTTCTCCACCCATTGCTATCGATTGCCGCTCATTTCTTCTTCTAGCCATTTCCTATCTGTAGGAAAAGTGGATTATGATGATTATGTCGACAACCGCCGACCATCGTACGATATTTCCTTCCAAAATTTTGTGGACACATTTGGAAGGTCAAACGAATGTAGATTATGATGAGCCTATAGTCAAATCGAGCGTCTTAACAAGATGAATCCAATGAGCCCAATATCACATAATTTTGACATCACTAAGGCACTCAAATATTCAGGAAATATCGTACGATCGAGGGAAGTCTTTTGAGTCGTCTAATCAAAGTAGTTCATATTTTTGCATTAATTACACCCAAAACTCTATAAGAAGTGTCCCACCCCTCTCATGAGGGGGGAAGAGAACTTGAAGCAATGAGATCTTGAAGCTTGAAGAGAGCTAGAAGTTTTGAGAAGGAGCTGAAGTTCAACACCACTCCTGTCGTCATCGACCACCGTCGACCGTCATCGACAACTACCGACCGTCGTCGAGCACCGCTAATCGCTATCAAGCACCGCCCGCCGCCGCTGAGCATCGTCAACAACCGCCGACCATCGTCGACCACCACCCGTGGTTCTCCACCCATTGCTATTGGTTGTCGCTCATTTCTTCTTCTAGCCCTTTCCTATCTGTAGGAAAAGTGGATGGAATTGTAATCATCATTTATAATGGAACTCTTAAGCTGAGTCAGGCCCCATGTTTTTCCACTTTACGAGTATTCCACATAAAAATTTTTGTTGTCATTACTAGTTAGTTTTATCTCTTTTGAACGTGTCGAATTTTTGTATCATGCTAAGATGATAATCTACTACCCTAATACAGCAAATTTTCAAGCAGACATCAAATTCAAATGAAGATAATCATGCATTTACGGGTTTGTTTGGGGCAGGTGCAGCTTATTAAAAAAGTTGTGAAACTGCTCAAGAATAATCTGATATTCAAAAAACTGTGGTGGCTATTACAAATTAAAAAAAAATTGATTGTAGCTAGAAAACTGTCATCACACTTAATCAGGATCAGTGATAAAATGAAGATTTCAACTGCAGTTTTTTGGAAAAAAACTGTCAAAATATAGTTTACCCAATACATTACATTATTAAGACATATCAACCAATTGTGGTTCTATTAAACTCAATTACCTTAAAATCCTTAGTAGGACCAAGTACGGCTCATTCAACTTTCACCAAAGTTCAAAATAAATTATGTTCCAACAAGTAGAAAGCTTCATACACTAGGCATGTAGAAAAAAAATAGCAGAGAACATATAAACATAGAAATTAATAAGGATTTTATTATAAAATGTGACACATATCAAATAAATTCATAAAGGCAATTCAACCATTCATTTAAGAATCATTATCACCATCATACCATGATAATCAACCTAGTTCAAACTCCACACCATTCTCATGTATTTACACATCTAACACCTAAACTTTCATATTTATATGTATACCTCACAAATATTTAACATCACATAAAAAATATCACACAATTCTCATGTATTTACTCCACACCATTCTCATGTATTTACATATCTAACACCTAAACTTTCATATTTATATGCATACCACTCAAATATTTAACATTACATAAAAAAATATCACACAATTTCATGCTTATATTTTGAGGTTAGAACACTAAAATGGTATATAAGTAAATATTAAAGTTTAGATGTTAGATAAATAAATACATACAAATTATGCAATATGTATGTAAATAGTCAAATCAATAATCGAACAAGTGGAGGGTCTTCATAAACCCATTTCAAATATAGAACGATAACCATACAATATTTATATGCTACCAAAATATTTATATAAATATGTGTGAATCTTAATGCAATTTTTAGATTTGAAACAGCCTATCATGACAAATATTTTAGCACACAACAAGCAAGATAGTACTTTAGCCATAAATTAGGGAATAGGAAAATTAGAACAGTTATATTTAAAAGTAGCTTCTGTGAGAGAATAAAAGAAGAGGAAGATTTACATAAATACCACACAATTCTTATGCTTACATATCTAACACCTAACTTTTAGTTTCTATATATCTGCCGCCTTACATATGTATGAAAAGATGTATTTCACCTTCACAAAAGTTAAAATAGTGGTATATTTTAAGTGGTGTAAGACATTTAGGTGGTATAAACTCAAAATGTAGGGTTTAGGTGTTGGATATGTAAATACATAGGAATTGGGTGGTATGTATGTAAATGCCCCAAAAAGAAGGGTACGAAGACTTCTTTCGTACCCTTCTTTATTCCATCCACTGAAAGAATTTTTACTGTTCATGATAAATAACATGGTGATACTGCAAGTTTCTAGTTCTTTTCAACCCCTAAATTTCTAAGCATTGGGGCAATTCAGTTAAGCAACAGTGCAATTACCATAGCTTATGTAAATAAGAAACGAACTTCACCCAAATTGTCCCACATCAGAGCGTGGGAAGTTGGGACTAATCATTTTGGCTGTTTTGGGAAATGCAGTTTGATGAGAGTTGGAAGTTCTGAAAGTTTAACTTGATCTTTTCCCAGCAATATTCTCTTTAGTTTGTCATCACAATTGACTATATTCATATCACCAGAATCCTGTAAAGCCACTATATTTTTAATAAATTTGGCTCACATTCTGCTTAAGTGTAACAGCTCAAGGTTATGGCTGAAATACAATTATCGAAAAGTTGAAAATAAACTATGAAAATCATAGAAAAACTGTTTGGCAGAATAAATGACAAAATTGGAACAAAAAAATGTATGGATAGAGGATGAGAATTCATAAATTTGACCCCAAATAGTGGGAAAAGGTTCATGGGACAAAGATTCAACTTATACTAACACTTTTTCATGTCTGAGGCTGCACTTACATGTCTGCTTAAACAATATCTAAGCTCATGATTAAGAACAGAAGATCAAAGAAAAATAAAGTAATAAAAAATATATAGTATTATAGGAGAATGGAAGTTTTGAAATAATACAATTTCAGCCATGTTATTCCTTCCATTCGCTTAATCGTATGGATGGGCATCAACAATTTACAAAATTGTGTTTCTTCTGTTATTTATTTACTTTTTACCCCTCCTTGAAACATATTCACAATAATTATAAGTACGCAAATGCTACGCAATCAAGTTAAGCAATAAAAAAGTTGATTGCAGTTGT